CTGTGCCCCTGAGGGGGGGGGGTGGGTTCACATGGCCATCCAGATCTCTGTGGTTTTTCTGATTTGGCGCAGGGAGGCCAGGGGCGAGGCTGGTGCCGGTGCCAGCACTGCTGCTGACCGCACGGGGCTGCCCCAGCCCTCAAGTTCTGAGTTGGCTGATGAAGAGCGGCCAGTTGGGGAGGAAGCGAGCCCCGCCGTCCGTCTGCCCGGCTGCAGACTCGCTGCGGCAGGTCAGGAACCGTTTTTGCATCTCTGGCGCTGAACGTTGCAACCGCAAGGCCAGCCGTGTTCCTGCTGGACATGAAGCGCGCCTGCGGTTTTGAATCCGTTACGATCAGAGTTAGAGTCAGAGTCAGCCAGGGAAGCGCAGAGGACAGGAGCGTGGGACGCGGGATCCGGCTTAGGTGTACGAATCGGTGTTTGTGCATGGCGGTTTGCTTAACTGTGGCTTATTGTCTAATTTGCACAACATGCCCGCCTTTGCCATCCACAGCCCACAAGCGAGTGCAATCTCATTTTCACTGTTGCTCTTTCTCGATCAACAGAAACTCGAGAGCTCACTCGAGAGAAGAAGTTTGCCCGTCAAGGAAAGGGCCGCACGACGCGGAAACCTTCTGGGCCCAGCGATCCGGAGAAGCAGCGAGCCTTGGAGCACTACCTGAAGCTGAAAAGGTAACTCTGGAAACAACCCTGAGGGGCTTTGGGGGGCTGTTGTTCTGGGTCTCCTTTCTCAGCTGCATTTCCTTGTTTTTCTGGCAGTTCGGGGTGGATCCAAGATGGGTCGGGCAAGTGGGTCAAAGACGAGAACGTGGAATTTGACTCCGACGAGGAAGATCCCCCAGTGTTGCCTCCGTTGTGACGGCGGGACGGTTTGCTCCCCTGGGCAAACGAGCGATTCTCCACCGGCTGTGCCTTGGAGACGTGCGGAGGGCACCCGGGAATCAGGAACTGAAGGGCACAAAGTTGGCATCTGCCAGAAAATGCACGAAACGCTTCCGGCCCTGACACGGCGACCTTCGTGCGTTTCAAACCTCACTTTGCAGGCCTTGTTTTTTGGCTTTTGGTATTACCGTGATTCGTTTTAATTCCTGTCTGGTTGCGTTTTCCATTTTTGTCCCTGCTCAGGGTGTATTTTGTGCTTTTCTGACGCTGGGTTTGTCAGAAGATCTCCATTCGGTCTTCCGTCCCTGAGCAAGGCAGCTGCTGGAGAAAAAGCCATGAAGACATCTCTAAAATAAATATAGATTTCGGGGAACTGCTTCTATGCAGCCGGATGGATAAAGATCTGAGTTTGGCGTCAGGAAATTGTGAGGGGCTTCTATTTAAATTCAGAACCATGAGGACTGGAATCTTACTTTCTGCTTTGGAAAGTAAAAAGGCCCAGACTCACTTAGGTTCAATGTCCATGGAGAACCGGGGAGAGGTTTATTCCTGAGAATATGGAGACTCGATACTGGTTTAGTTTAATGCCATCTAAATTCCCATCCTTTGTCCAGCTCATAGACCACAACCTGTGGCCAGAGCCCTTTTAAACCATGCAGTTTCTTTCTTCGTCGCTTTATTTAGCCGCTTGTAAAAGCCGAGACGGCGTTCCTCGTGCGCTACCTGCAGGCGAGGGGTCGCACCGTCCTTGGGAATATCAGAGCGTTGTGACCCCGCCGTAATCTTTGGTTCCACGGCTCCCATCGTGGCTTGTCAGCGGTGAGGGGAAGAGCAGGCTCGGGCTGCGTGAATTGCAACCCGGGCGGGCGGGCTGGAGGCGTGTGCGAAGGGGACAGGCGGCAAGCGGGCAACGCCACGGGACAGAGCACCCTAAAGGAGCCATCGTGCCAGCCGTCTTTAAAGGCTGAGAGCCCTCCTGCTCCTCCCTGTCCTCCGTGGCCAGATCTT